GATCGGAACAAAATTGTTAAAATGTTGAAAATAATTATGAACTATATCATCATCAAGTATCCTGGTGACTTCAAAGTTGGAAAAAAAGATGATGTTAGAGTTTTTAAAGCCAATTCCACCATTTTAAAAGCAAGGTCTCCTTATTTTAAAGCTGCTTTATCAAGCAATTGGTCTAAAAGATCCAAGGATGGTAGTATGATTTTATTCGATAAAGAAAATATTTCACCAAAAATCTTTGAAATACTTTTGACGTAAGTTTATAACAAGTTTATTTATTTGATTTATTAATTAAATGATCGATAATAATAATAATTTTATTTTTATTTTTATTTAAGTTATATGTACAATGGAACTGTCAGCATAGATAAACTGGATGCAAATGAAATTTTGAGACTTCTTGAAGCATGCGGCGAATTGAAATTTAGTGAGTTGGTTGATGATATACAAAATTATTTCATCAAAGAAAAGGCAGAATGGATTCAACGAAACTTAATTCTCGTCCAAAAAGTTTCAGCAAAACATAATATGCTCAAACTGCTTCAAGATTTTTGCAAGAAATTAATTTTCAAAAACCCAGAAGCATTTTTAAAATCTCATAATATTGCAACAATTGAGAAATCGATGTTTATAACTATATTGGAAAGTGATGATTTAAAATTGGAGGAAATTGATATTTGGGATTATGTTATTCAATGGGGAATGGGGCAAAATGAGACATTGGATAAAAATATTGCAAAATGGAGTAAAGAGAGTTTCAAAGAATTGAAAAAAATATTAGAAGATATCATTCCATTAATCAGATTCACCAATATTTCTTCGAGTGATTTTTATGATAGAATTAGACCATATAAAAAAGTTTTTAATAATGATATATACGAAGAACTTTTACAATATTATTTTAATTATGAAAAATGGCAACCCAAGTTGCTTCTTCGAAAAGGTCCAAGAATGGAAAAAGGAAAATTATTAAATCTGAAAACAAAATCATTAATTTCTAGCTGGATTGAGCAAAATAGTTCTTTTTATGGAAATAATGCTTCATATGATTTTGAATTAATTCTTCAAGGTAGTCAAGATGGATTTGCAAGATCAGTTTTTGAGCAAAAATGTCACAATTTCAGTCAAACGTTAGTGATTATGAAAATTAAAGAAACAGGCGAATTGGTGGGTGGTTATAATCCTGTTTTTTGGCATTTGAAAGAAAAGTTACCAAATGAAAATTATTATATTTATACAGATAAAAGTTTTATTTTTAAAATTGATGAAAATCACCTACTAAATCATACGATATTAAGCAGAGTCAAAAATCCAGCATGTGCAATATGTCATAATAGTCATAATTTAAATTATACTATAGATAATGAGAGATTTCATGAGGTTACTGTAAATTTTTGTGATTTACGACTAGATCTTAACATTAATAATGTGCCTTATTGTTGTTATTGTTTTTATAATATTTCTTATCATAATAATATTGAACTTAGAGTTAAACATAAGGCAATTCAATTAATAGAAGATTATGAAGTATATAGAGTAGTAGAAAAGAGACATTAATAATTCATATTTACATTAAAAAAATTTTTAAATTAGAATAATATTATCATATTTTAATTTTTTTTGCAAATAAATATATTTATTATCTATTTATCTATTTAACTTTAATTTTTGTATATAATGAATTTGGGGTTTGAAAGATATAAAATTTAATGTTGATCTCCAAAATTTGGCTATATAGAAATCATCATTGGCATTCTATCATATATTACATTTTATTTGCAGCCTGTAGTCTATTTTTTTCAGAGCTAACGCTTTCATATTTTAAAATGGGTCATTAAAATGATACAGAAAAGCTCAAACAAAAAACACATCATAAAAAGAAAGAAAAAAAGAGTCAGGAAAAAATTAATTGCAAAAGTAAAAGGTCTGGTAATGTATTCCTTAATAACACCGGATTTGGCATAGATTTTTGGATTGATTTCAGACCTTTGATTGTTATTACACAGTGAATCTCGATATAAAGATAATCAGAGAGAAATCTGTTATATCAAGGAAAATTTAGATCCGTTACGTTAAACGAAATTTGCTAAATCGAAACTCACTGTGTATTATAAATCACATGAGTCTATCAATGTGACCATAGTAAAGGTAAAAAAGGAACCTTTTTTTCTAAGAAGAGTTACAAATCTATACCAAATCTGGTGTAAATTTCGTTTAAGGACTAACTTTGAAAAAACTTCAGCGATTCACTGATTTTTGTATTTGTATAGTGTGATGGCCTATCTGAGTTTTCATACAGGGAAATTTGCAGACGCGGGTTTTTGGGGGAAGTACAATATCACCACCACGTTATATCCTTAAATGATCGATTTTTAAAAAATTCACTTTTAAAATTCCCGAGTTAAAAATGAGTGAATGCAAAAAAAATAATTATAGTACTTTTTCGTACCTTAAAATAATACAATGCCATTACTACATCTACATCTATCATTCAAAAAAGTTAATTAGCGATCCGTCTATGAATGAATGCAATGTCGATCTCTATTATTTTCGGCATGTAACGTTATGGGTGTCATTTTGCTTTTTTTAAACCTAGTAATACAAATGTTCACTTTGTCTGGTTTTGTTGCATGTTGACGGATCTTTGGAATTTAGGTATATATGATGGATTGGTCATTTGACGATAAATTATCCAATAAATGGATGATTTACAACTTGATTCTGTATATAATATTACCCAAAAAGAAATTGGCTTTAAAGATTTGACGCAGGGTTTATTAGTGGCTTGCTAGCAAATTTGGGGTTCTTAATTTAGGTCCAATTCCAAGAGTGGATAATTATGATGTCATTCGAGCCAAATTCATTGTCGATTCACTTGATCATAAAATGATGACCACATTTTCAAAAAATGCGAATGAATTCAGAGATGAAGGTCGTGTTCGTCCAAATAGTATAGAGGCACTATTTTGTTCTTAATATTGATCAAACAACATTATGAATCTCCATTAACATAACAAAGTTTATACAAGGAAAAACTGAACCGACTTGTAATGAAATTGGTTAATTATGTTCAAAATATCACAGAGGATACGGAATCCAAACTATTTAAAGCATTTCTTTGGGGCATACTCTTATATTTGAATTATGCTAATGTTCATTCATTACTAATAGATTATCAAAAAAAACGAAAAGGAAATCAAAAAATCAATTAAAGATGTATCCAAAGATGATCTTGATGTTATAGGAATAGATTTATCACCCATTAAAACTAAAAAACGCGAGAAGGTTCTTGAAACTATTCATAATATTTACCAAGCCGAAAGAATTGATAATATATTGTTCATAAAAGTAAGTGTTATTATTGTTTTTGCAATTTTCATTCAGGTTCATTTTCTAATCTTTGTTGTTATTCAGTTTGATGGTTTTGTGAAGGGAGAAACGCATATGGCATTACTATATTCACTTGATCAACAATTAACTTGGGATTTTCTGATTGATACAATATCAGTAGTTAATGGTAATGAATTTCGACCAGATATAGGGGGGTGGAGACAGAGACCAACACGTGAGCAATGATTTAATCTATCATTGATGCATCTCCGCCTCCTACCTTGTGGATTGAGGCAATATGTTAATCATTCTTGAAGGTACAATTACTTTCTTAGTATTCTATTAAATTAATGAAATTGCAGGTGGTATTTGACAACACAGAGCCATCTTTATATGTGTTGTTTTTTAATGTGTTATTTTTAACTTGTATTATTTAAAAAAAAGGCAACCTGGGTGCGATTGGAGAATGTCCTCAAAAACAAGAAGGTTAAATTACAGGAATCTTCTAATGAAAAATATAAGAAGCAAACTTTAAAGCTTGCAAAGATCTTGTAAGTATCTTCCGGCTTAAGGTTTTCCCTGCATTTAATGTAGTTGATCTTGCTGACGTGCGAACCTTTGAAATTACTATAGCAAACACCAATTCAAGGATTGTCATAACAAGTTTACAGAAGAAAAGATTGAATATAAATTTTGTTCTCAAATTTTCAAATTGCTTTTTAAGGACAATAAGTCTTTAAAACTGGATTAGTAAATACCATTTCTTCTTGTTTAGTTTATGCTCAGACTTATACAACTTATTTCTTTAATAGGGGAGAGAAAATGTTAAAAGCATCAGCAATTTTAAAGAACGAATTACTCCAAGATAATTATAGATGTAGTCACGGTAATAAGATTGGCCTTGTCATAAGCATTGCCGATATCAAAATTAGAAAATGTGATCATGGAAGTATCAGGTTCTCCAAATGAGCAAGATCATACCCATTATGTGGGTGATCGGAACAAAATTGTTAAAATGTTGAAAATAATTATGAACTATATCATCATCAAGTATCCTGGTGACTTCAAAGTATAAAGCTTTATGGAACCCAAATCTATAGTAAGTTGTGCAATCCTGTTACTTTAGTATTAGAAATATATACTCTGATGATCAATCTAAAATTATAGATCATAAATTTTACGCTTATTCAATGTGTATGCTATTTTCAGCAATATATTATTTCAAGCTCGAATTCAAATTCGAGTATCCAATAACAATGAGAACACTTTCCGAAATTTGGACAAAATTTATGGAAAATGAGGGTAAGTTTGACTTTTGTATTAGTGCAAGTTTGCAAATTTGATCTGAAGTTTTTCTTAAAATCCAATCAGGATCTGGTTCAACCAAGTGTGACAGAAATTATGACGTATATTGATAGTGAAGAGGGTGAAGAAAATGATGGAGCAATTTCAGTTGATATGGTCAATCAATCACCAAGAAAGGTCGGGATCAGAAGGTCATAGTTTAAATTCGTGGTATTTTATTCCTGCTTCAATGTGATGAGTGCCACTTTTTTCTAATAATTTTTTAGTTTATTATTCTACTAGAAAAACATTTAGTCTAATTTTACCTGTTTTAATGAAGCAAAAAATACATTTAAACAAATAATTGGTTTTATTATTTGATTTATATATCTTCATCATGAAATCTTCTAATGGTGAAAACCCCATTCATTATTAATTCCAAATCACATGATTGGTATTCAAATAAAACAATTGATAATAATGTTTCTAATTTCATTCATCAGTTCTTGTTGGTTGATTTGCCATTATTTTTAAAAATTTTTTGATAATTGGTTTCATGAATATTTGGCAAATTAGAAATGAAATATTCACATGCATTGAAGAAATGTAATATCACTACAGTAAAAGCCATCAAAGTGACACAAAGAGGCGGCAAACTTTGAGTTTTTAAAATTTATCACATGTACAAATTTCAGCAATAAAATTTAACAAACGTTTTATCAATTATTCAATAGTTTGTATAGGCACCCCAATGTTTATATACCTAATGTTGATGGTGATGTTGGTGATGTTGAAATGATGATGATTTACATAAATTTTTACTTTTCAAATAAAGATAGAAACCACAATTCAAATTTCACATGCCACAACTGCAACCACAATTAGTTCAACTACAGTCAATGCTTGTTATCTTGTTATAGTGGATTTTGCCTATAGTGGACTTTTTTTATTTTCCCAATTCTCTTCATAATAAAATTTGTTTGTTATAGTGGACTTTTAAAAAATTTGATATAGAACATAGCTTATGAATTATGTTCGTTATAGTGGAAATCATGTGGTTTTATGGCAATCTTTTACATTATAGTTAATGTTAATATGGTTTCTAAATAGTAATGTGTGTTAACAAAATTATTTGTACATTATCCTTTTTTGATGGTGGCAATAAAGTATTCTATTCTTGGTTAATTTTTTTTAACAATAAATTAATGTTTGTATGTTGTCCTTTTTTTTTACTGATGAAGAAATTATTAGAAGCCAAATCCTGAGGTTGATGATTCTGATGAAGAGGAAGAAGTGGAAATGATGGTTATTTCTGATAAAGAGGCATTAAATAGTTTTAGAAAAAGTGATTCAATATTTAAAAAATCCACCAGATAATTTTATAATTAACTATCAAGAATTAAAAATGATTAATAGTTTAAATCAAAAATTCATAAACATGTTTAGGATAATGCAAAATAACTTATTATTATGTTAGACAGTTTTATTTACTATGTATCTATATGTTGTACATGAATTTATTTGTGTTATTAATAAAAAATTGATCTTGTTATAAGAGACTTTTCAATTTATTATAATAAGTCCACTATAATGAGCTTTGACTGTAATCACAATTAATTGAGGTGCCATCTTTATTTCCAAATCATTGTATGCCTCATCCCAGACAAATTCACCAATATTGTCAGGTCCATTTATGTATATATTATCAATCATTAAGCTGTTTTAGAGAGCTCAAATTCTTAAAATTATCATAATAATCATTCAACACATTCTAGTTCCATTAAAAAAGAATGATTAAATTATTCTAATTAACATGTATTTTGTGTATCCAAAATTTATTGTACATCTCAATATAATTACTGTTTTTAATAATTGGTCAAATAGCTTTAGAGATTTCCTTTCGATAGCTGAATCTCCATCACTCAGTAAATTACGTCTTATATTACCAAAGACTCTTTTGTTATTACCATCAAAATCTGTAGTGACAATTGTTGTATCATTATTCTCAGCCGTGGTGTCATTTATTTCATGATTTTCCATTATGGCTTGAATTAAATTATAAAAATATTTGATCTTATATTTTAAAATGTTATTATGATCAATGTTGATTTGATTCTGATTAGGATGTTGATTATGAGTCAATGATGAATGATGTCAATTAAAATAATATTTAATATTTATGTGAGAGTGTATTATTTAAAGTCGTCAATGAATATTTAAGTGAAAATAAGGTTAGAATACTACCCCACCCTCCCTATAGTCCATATTTAGCACCCTGTGACTTCTTTCTGTTCCCTAAAATCAAAAAAGAACTGGGTGGAAAAAGTTTTGATAGTATAGAA